CACTTTGCTCGGACCATTCGGAGGCCCCCGAAAGCTTATGATGTTGAGCTGTTGAAGACCATGCGGGGAACTCCTTATGACTTCTTGCTTGATGTGGTTCCGGTTCGAAAGAAGAAAGTGGACAAAGAGAGGCTGCCGCTCCTTGTTGAAGTAGCTCCTCCTGCTCTTGTGGCAGCTGAGGAACCTGCAGTGATCGGTCCCGGTGATGAGGCTGCCAGTGATCCTCCTTCCTCAGAGGCTGGCGGTGGGGCTGGATCGTTGAGTATCAGCCTTCCTGGCCAGTCTTCTGGAACGAGCTCCTCCTCTTCTGCAGAGCTTATTCCTGCGGCCATGGACGTTGACGGTGCCAACCAGGTTGCCGAAGAAGGAGAAGATGAAGTTGTTTCGGCCGAGGGGGGACTCCCCACAGGCCACTTTGAGGAAGAAGGTTTCAGAGATGTTCCTCAAGATTGGGGTGATATCTTTGATCAGACCTGGGAAATTGAGGGTGTCCTTCAAGAAGCTGAGCGAAGGAAATATGAGGAAGGGCCTCCTGTCCTTGATGATGATGCTCTTGCTGCCTTGGACGCGGAGATGGATGAAGTGGAGATTCAGCGGCTCTTAGGGATGAAGGTCCTTGAGGAAGTCGGCCCCGATGAGGATTTGAGTGACATGTATCGCCTTGGCTGCAAGAACGTCAGAGATTGGAGATTTCGCAATGGTTGGGTGCGAAGGTCGCGCCTAGTCGCGAAGGAGTTTCGGTTCCTTCAACCATTCATGGAGAACCTCTACAGCCCAGCTTCGTTGAGTTCCACCCAAAGGTTGTTGGCAGGACTTTGCTGCTGCAATCCCCATCTTCGTTTGTATAGTGGCGACATCAAAGATGCATACCTCACTGTGAAGCAACGGAGAAAAACCTACATAGTGAGCAGCAGCGGCCAGAGGTACAAGCTGCATTACAACCTACCAGGACAGAGAGCAGGAGCACGTGATTGGCATGAAAAATTGAAGGCTGTGCTTGAAAGTGACGGCCTGCGTGCATTCGAAGGAGCCCCCGCCCTCTTCTACGAGCCTCAGAGCCT